GTCTTCCTTGTCCTCACAGGTGAGGGGGACCAGGTGGTGGTGGATGGCTGGGACTGTAGCTTCCCGCGGGACATGTCGGACCTGGAGCCCAGCACCAACGTGGAGCCCCTCAGTGAGTTTGGGAGCCGGTGGGGCATTCCTCACGGCTGTGGGGGGGTGTGGGGGTGGGGGTGGACAGGCTACATGGGAGGAGACTACTATTTCACAGACGAGGAACCCCAGGACGAAGCTGCCCCTGGGGAGGGCGTTGCTGGGGGAGGGGGGGCACAGAGCTGGGGGCTTGGCCGCCTGGGACGTGTAGCTTCTGGCCACTCCGAGCTGAGAGTCCTGCAGCCGAAATGCTCTGCTGTCAGCCTTGCCCCAAGTATCAGTCCCAGCCTCTGCCTGTCTGTGCCTGTCCCTCGTGGCCGTGTCCCAGGTTGAAATCTCCCCTGGAGCCTGTGAGTGGCTGACCTCCGTCTGCAGCCGACGGCTCCTTGCCTGTCATGAACCCCGTTCTCCTCTTCCCACCCCACCAGGCTCCCTCCTCGCCCAGTTCTTCGCCTGCGTCTCCTCCTGGGACCTCCGAGGATCACTGCTTTCCCTGCGGGAGGGCCAGGCGCTGCCAGTGGCAGGAGGCTTGCCCGTGGCTCTCTGGGGGGGCCTGCGCCTTGGCCCCCTGAATCTCCAGGACCCCTTTGACCTGAGTCACAACGTGGCTGCCAACGTGACCAGCCGGGTGGCCGGGCGGCTCCAGAACTGCTGCCGAGCGGCGGCCAGTTACTGCCGCAGCCTCCAGTATCAGCAGCGCTCCTCCCGGGGCCGGGACTGGGGGCTGCTCCCTCTGCTGCAGCCCAGCTCCCCCAGCGCCCTACTCTCGGCGACACCTATCCCCCTGCCCCCGGCTCCCTTCACCCAGCTCACTGCGGCCCTGGCCCGGTTGTTCAGGGAGGCGCTGGGGTGCCACATAGAGCAGGGGCTCAAGCGTGCCAGGCCCGAGGGAGGTGGTGCGGGAGAGGCTCCCCAGGGAGGGACAAGCAAGAGACTGAGAAGAGAGGGGCAGAGGCAGAGCTGTGAGGCGGGGCTGGCAGAGCAGCGCCCGTGTGCAGGCAGCCCCGGTGAAGACGGGGTGGAAGAAATGGTGGTTGAGGTTGGCGAAACGGTGCAGGACTGGGCCATGCGGAGCCCTGGGCAGCCGGGGGAGCTGGCCCTGACCACCGGAGAGCATCTAGCCCCTGGAGAAAGGGCCCCCCCGGGTCCCGTAGCCCTGACCGAGCAGAGCCCCACAGGACCTGGTGCAACCCAAGAAAGGCCACAGGACAAGGCTGGCCAGGGGACCCCCCGCTGTGCAGGGAGCTGGCGCTGTGTCTTGTGGCACCGCGTGTGGCAGGGACGGCGGCGTGCCCGGAGACGCCTACAGCAGCAAGCCAAGGCAGGCAGTGGCGCAGAGTGGCTGGCGACGGAGGCGCAGGTGACCCAGGAGCTGAGGGGACTGAGCAGAGGAGAACAGCAGCCAGAGGCGGAAGCCCTCCTGACCTTTGTGGCCTCCGCCTCCCAGGCGGCCCAGACCCTTACTGTGACCCCACTGCACGATCCCCAGGGCCTCTTCCCCGAGCTCCACCACTTCCTGCAGGGTTTCCTCCCGCAGGCTCTACGGCATCTCCTCAAGTGAAGGCGATGATAAAGCTGGTGCTTGGAAACAAGTGGGCTCCGACTCCGATTCCCCCACGGGCTCGCCCTTGCTCGCCGCCTCCAAACCCTGCGTCAGCCGTGCTCACCCTGTCTAACTAAACGTGCTTCCGCTCCACCCCAGCAGCCACCTCTCCTCCCCTCCCCTCCCATCCCCCTGACCACACTTTGCCCCAGGTACTGGACATTTCCTCCGCTGCCCTAGAGCTTTTTGGATGGTGGCAGAGCCCACGATTTGGACTCTGGCTCCTTCACCCGTTCTCACCCGTGACTGGGGCAACCCATCCAACTGTGATTGGTCACAGTGCCCAGCCTCCACAGGATGTGGTGGAGTATGACAGAGCCCTCCCTCATTGGGCTGCAATCAGCTAGGTCCAGGGTTTGAAACCACCAGTCACCTCCAGTGAGACGGGCAGGGCTTTCTACCCCCGAGGAGTTTCAAGAGTCTTGGACGTTCTCCGGGGCAGTTCTAGCCTGCCCTATCGGGATTATCCGTGGGCACCGTGGGCACCGACTCGGTGGCAGCGTTTGGTTTTGTGCTTTCAGACCCGGACGCTGTTAGATTGAGGTCCCTTTCTAGGAACTCAAGGAGTTTTGGCACACTGCCACCTGGGCGCCGGCGCTGTCTCACAATCCCGGTGTTGGGGTGTCTGGCGGAATTCCCCGGGCCTGCAGGGGGACACCTCGGAGCCGGAAATGCAGCTCGGCGCCCGCTAACAGCTATGCCACGTAGCTGGGAAGGGACAGCTGCTGCAGCCGGGTCTCCCAGTTCCCCCTCCCTCGCCGCCGCATCACAGCCGGAGACACCTGAGTGGTAGGCCAGCCAACAGCGGCTCAGTGCGCAGGCGCTGGTTTTCGGGACCCGCCAGCAGGCCCCACCCCCTCTGACCAATTCAGCGGCCGCTGGATTACGAACTGTCGTGCGTATGCCTTCTATGCCGTCCTCGCTTTCCGGCTGCCGTGTCCCCCTGGCGCGCGCTCTGGCCCTCCCTCCCGCGGCGGCGTACTTTGCGGCAGCGCCGAGCGCCCCACCCCCTTTCTCTGCGGAATCACCATGGCGGCTGGGGTAAGTTTGCCGGCTCTGGCGAGCCAGGTCACCCTATCCGCCGCCATCCTCTGTCCGAGTGGGGCCAGCGGGCACCCGCGGAGTCCTGGAGCCGCGTGCGGGACGGAGCTGGGGTCTGGCGTGCTTCCTGGTGGAGAGCGGGGCTCCCGGAGCCTGGGGAGGAAACTAAAGCTGGGCTTCTGAAGAGGCCAGAAGTGTGAGGGTCGCGCGGCGAGCAGCAAAGGGATGTCGAGTCTAAGCCCTCCGGGGCCTTGAAAGCTGATTTGGACTCGTTGTCCCCCTCGAGACAGGGGACCCGGGCTGGCGGACGGGACTTTGGCGGCCGTTTTGTGGGGCAACGTCGGGGGAGGCGGAGGGTCTTTGTGAGCAGAGGCGGCCTGGCCCCGGCTTGGGGTGGCTTCAGGGGCCGCCGAGGCACCGAAGGCATCTCGGGACTAGGGGGTCAGGCCAAGTGGACCTGCTGTCCAGCGTCGGGGACGGAGGGACGGCAGCGCCAGGGATGTCTGCGGGACAGGAGGGTGGCCTGCGGGGCCGGGGAGGGGTGAAT